ATATTGATCAATCTAGCAGACAGTGCACTCTCTTTCCAATAAAAAGGCTTCCTGGGAAAACTGCACTTGTGTTACAAGAATTTTGAAGTATATATACTATTACTGGTATAGAAAGAGGAGGGGAGATTTTTTTTTTTTTCCAGTGTATGATTGTAATTTATACTTCCCATTGGAGTGGAACAATTTCGGGTAGCATAGAAAAGAATAAAGAAACAAGTAAAACCAAAAATCCCATTACTTAGAGGTAAAAGCATCGTTTAATAGATATGCTTTCAGACTTCATAGATAGAAGTGTTTAATTTTTGAAGTGGGATTGTACTATATGAGTCTTTTTTGGTAACATTCTGTTTTCCTGTATCATTTGTACACATCTTTTTGTGGTAATGTAGATCTTTGTTACTTTCTATAATTGCATTGCATAGATTTATCTAATTATTCAGTCAAATTCACATGGATTTTAAAAGACATTTTTAACAACTTGATTATATTTTTTATACTATGGGAAAGTACCTTTAAATACATTGGAGTAGAACTCTTGAGATTAACTAAAGGCTAACATTCACATTAAAATTTATATGTACCTTATTAATTAAGTCTAATTTCATTTAAACTTTGTTCTTCACCTTTGTGATTCATCTCACAAGTAATTATATACCTATACTGTCCTATTCATTAAGCAAACACATATGTAGCATTTTGAAGAACTTCTGTATGCTGAGCCTTCAGTTTGGTAGCATACATGGTGAATGAGTTTATCAGTAGAAAATTTGGGTTCTTGTTCCATTAGTAAGTGCTCTACCACTTAATAAATGTTATTTGGACCCAGTCATGTAAAAACTGGGTTTCACTTGTCTGAAAGGCTACCTTTCCTTCTGTTTTGAGAATTGAAACAAATAGGTTACAGTGTTTGGCATTATGTATATATTCAATAAAAGGTTGACTTAGGAAATGAAGGTGTGGAGATTGGAGAATGTAGATTAGCAATCTGGAGAACATGTCTAAAGCATCCATCAGGCTTAAAATGCTTTTCAGAATTAAAAAAAAAAAAAAACCTCATACATTTACAATAATGATATAGTTTATAGTTGCTTGCAAAATTACAAGAATTTGTATTGGGCATTTAAAGTGTTTTTAGAAAGGCTCTGCTCAAAAGAGACTAGTATGAATAAAAGTGTTTACACCTCTCTCTTCCCCAAAATCTAGATCTATAAAGGGGATTATTTAAAAAAAAAAAACTTTAAGATGTTGATGGACCTTTTTTTTATTCATTTATTTATATGTGGTGCTGAGAATTGAACCCAGTGCTTCACACTTGCTAAGCAAGCATTCTACCACTGAGCCACAACCTCAGCCCTAAAGGGGATTATTTTACATCTAAGCTAAAATTATATTTGGTACAGATGAATACTAGTGATAAAACCTCATTGATCTGGATCCATTGAGGGGAATTTGAATGTAGAACTGAGGTGTGTCTTTGTGCTATGATTCATGTTAGTTTCTGAAGGGAAAAGAGAAATTAGATGACTAATGTCTTTTATGAATTATTAAACTGAAATCCAGGAGGGGAGGAATTTTTTACCCAAAGCTACATGATTGCAGAGCTTACTAGGATGTAAGCTTACTAGCCCTGTCCCTTTAGGTTTCCTAGATGCCTATGTGAGTCTCTGGAATCACAGTGCTGATTTTTTTTTTTTCTCCTTCTGTGTTCATTTATAGAATGCACAGATTAGATAACTAATTCTTATCTAGTCTTCAAGCCTCTTTGAATAGTCTCTGGTTAGACATTAATAGTCTCTGGTTAGACATAATTAATGGTCTAAAGCCAGTGATTTCATAATCATTTTTTAAAACAATGATCAGGAATAGTGAATACCTCTGCATTTGTTTTAGGTTCTCATCAATAATGATTCTGAAGATTAATGAATATTTTTGAGCACTTCGAGTACCATTTTTATAAAGTGGCATTTGTTCATATTAAAATAGATTTGAGGTATGCCTTAACTGCTGATTCATTTAGGCTGTCAACTTTTATGTACCCAATAATAGTGAAAGCTTAGATATGAGTTTTAAAATCCTTTTGTCTGTGGTTACAGTGTAACACAGAAGATCATTAACCTAGAAGTTAATCCTAAATTTGAAAAAATTTTTAATGCACTTACTATTTAAATTACCTAGATAAGAAAAGTGATAGTGATTATGGTGATACCAATAACAACAACAAATAACAGCCCTGACATTAAGAATTTATTGTATGCTGATGACCTACATTAAGTGCTTTATATTATTAATGAAAAAATTCACTATCTAACTAAATCACACCTCAGTGAGATCATTTTATTTATTTATGTATTTATTTTTGGCAGTGCTGGGGATTGAACCCAGGGCCTCACGCATGCCAGGCAAATGCTGTACCACTGAGCCACAATCCCTGCCCATCATTTCTATTTTTATACACTATTTTTTTTTTTTTTTAAAGTAAAGAGGCTCAGGTATAGAGGATTTTAGTGACTTGTGTGAGGTTATGAAGCCACTGTTGGAGTCAAGGAGATCCAGCTCTTGAACCTAAATTCTGTGTTTGTTACACACAAACCACGATTATGGCATTTCTGGAGACCTTCATAGCCAAGAATGATCTTTTGGGTTAGGGTACAGGGGATTGAAGCCAGGTATACTTTACCACTGAGCTATATCCCTGATTCCTTTTTTAAAAAAAAATATTTACTTTTGGTACTGGGGATTGAATCCAGGGACACTGTACATCTAAGCTACTACCCCTAGTCCTTTTATTTATTTTGAGACAGGATCTCACTGAGTTATTGAAGCTGGCCTCAAATTTTTGGTCCTTCTTTCTTTAGCTCTCAAGCTGCTAGAATTATAGGCATGTGTCACCATGTCCAGCAAGAATTATCTTACCAAGGGCCCTCTTGGTAAGACAGCCTCTTTAACAGTGCTAGGGAAAAAAATGATAATAATTATCAGAACCACTGCTGTTATAAATTAGCCCTGTCCCTTCAGGTTTCCTAGATCCCTATGCATTTTTAAAGACCAGCCGAGTTTCTCTTTATTTCAGTGTTTTAAAATTTCTTCCAGTTTTTCCTGTTCCTAAGTTCTCATCACAATGCAGTTCTTTGTTTTATTATGCCTTTATTGACTTGTTTTTACATATCTTACCATCGTTTCCAGGCTTGTACCATTCTAGAGTTGGATAGGCCTTTAAGAAAAGTCCCTTTTCCCATTGTCAGGTTTTCTAACTTATTCTAGTTAGTTGAGTTTCTTGAACAGTATCATCTCAGTGTTTGCTGAATTTTAGGAAAGAATTAACATTGCTATTACCTTTTTATTATTCATAATGTCATTTTGACAACATAGACTATTTCAAGTTCTGGTCAGTCTTGGACATGCTATTGTATTGGTACAACAGGAAAAACTAGTTGCATACATCAAAACTGAAGTAGATGTTTTAGGCAGGGTCAGTTACAAACCAGTTGAGGAAGGCTTAAAATCAAAAGTCTGAAACTTTTTTTTTTTTTTAATGCTATAAACTGCTGCTCTGTGCTAAAACAGAGTGATGGGCACTTAAAATACCCAGGGTCATACACATGGTAGGAATGCTTTCTACCACTGAGCTACACCTCCAGCCCCAATTAAAATATCTGAAATCAGTACTTGTGATGTATACTCACAGGAATTAAGGACTTTGTAATGATAATCCAATATTTTATAGTTCACATAAATAGTTTTCTCTACAAAACTGCTGTTAACAGTAGGGCTGGGGATGTGGCTCAAGCGGTAGTGCGCTCACCTGGCATGCGTGGGGTGCTGGGTTATATCCTCAGCACCACATAAAAAAATAAAATAAAGATGTTGTGTCCACCAAAACTACTCTTAAGAGTAAAGGGAAGCCATATATACCTGGGATACCTAGGGATCAAAGCCAGAGCAGTCCCTAAGAATGTGTTTGTTTTTAATGTCACTCCTTTCATTTTAAAATTAACAGGTATTAAAAATTGTACTCAAGTGTATCTGAATTCATTTTACTGTAAAAATGCTAATTGATCACATTGTTATGTGCATGTATGAATGTCACAGTGAATCCCACTATTGTGCGTAATCATAAAGATAATAAATCAGAAAAAAATTTTTCTTCTAGTTACAATCCAGAGGGGGATGGTTTCATTAGCCTGTGAATTCAAGAGTCTGTTGCACAGTGCAGAATTATCCTTGGGTTGAGCTAACCCGATCTAGAGACCACAAGCATATAGTGTTATTTGATCCTAATAGTGGGCCTGTGACCGTGGTCCAAGAGATGACTTGCTAAGTTAGGCTTTGTCTGACTCCTTACTATTAATAAACATTATATAACAGTGTAACAAATGTAGGTTTTCTTTGACTCCAAAATTTTTATGCCATTCAAAAAAAAAAAAAAGTAGCTTTTTAGTTATCTAAAGGTGGTTTCCCCTTCTTTTGCTCTGTAGGAAACTTTGTTAATGATAGTTAGATTGAGTTATAATTTTTAAGGTTCTCAAAGAGGGATCATAAAAGAAGAGCTGTAGATCTCAGAAGAGTAGATTTAAATAAGGGTTCAGTTTCATTCAGTTTCTCAACATTTTTTGAATTAGTGATTCTACAGTTTTGTATCACTGAAATTTCTCATTTTAGTACTTCTTAACATTTTTCTATTATTTGAATATATATCATGCATTGTATGAAGAAGAAGACCTCAGTAGTAACCTCTTATTTTGCATAAGAAGTCTGCTGGGCCTCATACATTTGAAATCTTTTTTGGAAGAGAGTACCAAGGATTGAACTCAAGGGCACTCAGCCACTGAGACACATCCCCAGCCCTATTTTGTATTTTATTTAGAGACAGGGTCTCACTGAGTTGTGTACCACCATACTCAGCGCCTTTTTTATATTTTTGTAGGTAGAGTTAATATAAGTGTGCAAAATCCAAATGGATAAAATAACGTTCTCATTTAAAATTTCTTTTTCCATTTTAGTTGTTGACCTCCTCTACTGGAGAGACATTAAGAAGACTGGAGTAGTGTTTGGTGCCAGCTTATTCCTGCTGCTTTCATTGACAGTATTCAGCATTGTGAGTGTAACAGCCTACATTGCCTTGGCCCTGCTCTCTGTGACTATCAGCTTTAGGATATATAAGGGTGTGATCCAAGCTATCCAGAAATCAGATGAAGGCCACCCATTCAGGTGAGATGTCTGGAAAAATGAGGCATACGTTGTCAACTATGTAAATAGGATCAGTATTAATACTTTAGTCTACTACCACCTGTAGATTTCAGGCATGTGTGTTCTTTACTGCTTAAAGGTAATCGCATACTCTAAAAGCACTTGTTGTTTTTTTTTTGAGATTTCCTAAAGGTTACATTGAAAGACTTATGGTGAAAAAGACTTGGTGTAAGCATGATTAGCTAAAAACTCTACTTGTTAGGAAGTCTACTTTAATGGAAAGTGTATCCTTTAACATGATTATTATGGGTAAGGGTTATATTTTCTTTATTGCTATTTTTTATACTCTGATATAATACTGATTTTTCATAACCTTTGCTTACCCTTTCATAGCCATATCTTTTCTTACCATTCCTTCTCTATTTGGTTTCTTCTCCTCATTCCCCAAGGCATTACTTATTTTTATTTTTTGGAGAGTTTCTTTTTTCAGCATCTCCTTGTTGAGTATCAACTATTAATCTTATGCCCTTATTTTCACAAGTCCAACCTAACATTATATATCTAGTTACTATTGAAACACTTCTTTTTTTAAAAAAATATTTATTTTTTAGTTATAGGTGGATACAGGTTCGAACCCAGTGCCTCATGCATGGTAGGCGAGCGCTCTACCTCTGAGCCACAACCCCAGCCCTTGAAACACTTCTTGACTCGAGTATTTTGTTCTCAGTTGATACTCCACATTTTCACTCACTTTTTAAGTTGAGATACAACTCAGGTATTATAAAATTCAGTGGTGTTAATTCTTATTTTATTTATTTTGGTACTAGGGATTGAACCGATGGCCTTGTGAATGCTAGGCAAGAGTTTTGCCATTGAACTACATCCCCAGGCGTCAGTAGTGGTTTTTAATGTATTTGGAGTTATATAATCATCACCATCTAATTCCAGAACATATTCATCACCCTAAAAAGAAACTTCATATTTATTAGCAATTAATCCCCAAGTACCCCTTTTATAACTATTAACTCATGTGTCTTTAAATTTTTTTCTTCAAAGTTGTTAACCTATATCAGCAACACCACTATCATTTTGGTTTTTAAGATCCCAGTTTTGATATTATCTTTGTTTTTGTCTCATGTAAGGAAGATTACTAAATTTTTCATTTCCTGCTACTCCCTCAGTTCAAAACAGGAGTCTGAAAACCATAGCCATGTCCAAATCCAGTCTGTGGGCTATTTTTATAAAAGTTTTATTGTTACACCACCATTGTTCATTTATTTAGTTGGTTTCATTCATACTAAAATAGCAGAGTTTCAGTAGTTGTGATAGACACACATATGGAGTACAAGGCCTAAAATACTGTTGGCCCTTTACAGAAGATCTGCCTACCTCTGGTTAGACTCCTCTAACAGATTGACTTCTGATTACCTCAGATTATTTTAACTCTTAGGGATGTTGTTAGGTTAATTTTTTGAAAATACTGCTTTTATCATGTTTTTAGGCACAGGACTCTTACCTTCACTATATGCTGAACTTCAGATATTTTGTTACATTTATCCATCCCTTCTGGGTTTTTGTGCCCATTTTTGTGTTTTCACTTTTTTTAAAATATTTTTTTAGTTTTACATGGGCACAATATCTTTATTTATTTTTATGTGGTACTGAGGATCAAACCTTGTGCCTCACATATGCAAGGCAAGTGCTCTGCCACTGAGCCACAACCTCAGCCCTCATGTTGTCATTCTATATTCCCCAGTGTTCCACTGTATCATACTTTTTATTTGATTCTGATTTAAGACCCAGTTATTTGAAGATTTCCCTAATCTTGACCCAAAAAGACCTGAGAATTCCTTTTCTAATGTATTGACTGTGGCTTTGAAATGTTCTTTTAATTGTTTTATACCTGGACAAGATTTTTTTTAAATAGGTTTTGAGCATTTAAAAACTATTTTGGTGCTGGGCATGGTGGCACACTCGTAATCCCAGTGAGTTGGAAGGCTGAGGCAGGAGGATCACAAGTTTAAGGCCAGCCTCAACAACTTAGAGAGACCAAAAAACAAGTTAGTGAGACCCTTTCTCAAAATTAAAAAGGGGCCAGGGATGTGGCTTAGTGGTTAAGCACCCCTGGGTGTAATCCCCCATACAAATAATAATAACAATAACAACAAGAAGAAAATTTAAAAAATAAAAACTATTTTGGTCCTGGTAGGATAGTACAAACTGGTAATCCCGGCTGCTGAGGAGGATAAGGCAGGAGGAGGATGGCAAGTTCCAGACCAGCCTGGGTAATTTAATGAGACTATGTCTCAGAAATTTAAAAGGACTGGGAATGTAGCTCAGTTGTAAAGTACTTGCCTAGCATTCACAGGCCCTGGGTTCAGTCACCAGTACTGGGGAAGAAACAAAACAAACAGAAAGGCAATCTAATTTAGCAAAATAAGTATCTTTTGGGTATGAATGAGTATGTATGTACCTATCTAATATTAGTGGGTAAACTTAAATTGATTTTTAAACATTGAAAGCAGAGACGTACTAATTTTTTTTGCTAATTGTACAGACCAGTAATTTGTTTTACTACAGCTTTCTTTTACTTATGAAGTAATGATGTTATATGAGTTTGAGGTGTGAGACCAAATCTGATTGAATGGCTTCTGCTACCTGCTTTTATAAATGATGTTGTTTTATTGGAACATAACCATGCTCGTTTATTTAGTGGGTTTCATACTATGTGTCTGGTCTTTTCTGTACATATTTAATTTTTGTGATAACTCTGTAGAATATATGGTATAACTCCATTTTACAAAGGGGGGAGACAGTTAAAATTTGGTAACTTGAAACTGCAGCTTTAGAATGGCAGAGCCGCATTATATCACAAATCATTAAGGAGTATGATTTTTAATTAGTTAAATGGAAGAATGTAAAAATGTTGCCAAGCCACAACTTTTGAATTAACTTTTATGCCTTGTTTGATTTTAAAGATTTTTGGAAAAGACTAATTATTTCTTTATATTCTTATTAAAAACACTTGATTCTTAGTTCGAAGTGCTTTTGTAGTTGTCATAAATTCAGTTGACATGGCCCCCAATTTAAGCCTACTGGACAGCTTTTCCTAGTTCCCTAGTCACACAAGTGAAGATACCTATGGTCATTAAAATAGTGTTTCACAGTGCTGGCATTGCATTAATATCACACAAATGCCAGTTAAACTAATGTAAATGCAAGATGCATTGATGGACAGTACTGTTTTGGTCAGGTAACTTGTTTTTAGCAAGAACTAGCAGCACTGGTACAAAGAAGCAATAATCCAGCCAACGTTATATCAGCCAATTTTCTATATTGCTCAAAAATGTATAAATTACTGGTAGTTTAAAGTTTGATATGACTTTTTGAGAGTTTTAACTTGATTGTTAATAAATATCAATGGTTTAACAGTGTTCCAAACCACTGTACTAGTAAAAAGTCATTTTTAAATTGTACTCAACAGTTCATATGCTAGTAGGAAAAATATGCAAATATATGCATGTCTATAATTCAGGGATGGTTATAGTAGATACAGGTAGGACTAATACAGAAGAAGGACTTGTTCAGGGTACACAGGTCTTATGGAATCAAGTATTAGATGAGGCTTCCTGTTTGCTGGGATATGAGATGAGTCTATCTAATTGGATAAGCATCCTGGGTTGGGAAAACAGCACGATAACCCAAAGACATTAAGGTTAAAACATATTTAGTATATTGGTTGCAACACATAGTGTAGTGGGAAGAAAGTTTGGAAAGACAATGTTGGCTCTTTGACTGCAATGTTAGAGCCATATAATCACAGAATGTTTGAGCCTGAAGGAACCTAGAAAGGTCTACTCCTCTAATTTCCTGAGTTTGAATCTGATCCAGTGAAGTTAAGTGCCTTTTGCAAGTTTATGTAGCAAGGTTGTAGCAAGTATCCTAAACTCCTACTGAAATAGCACTCTGGATAGCTTGCTCAAATAAGGCTAATCTGGCTGGGCTGATAATAAAGATTAGGCTGGAGACCACTCGGAGACTGGTTTGGATACTGATAAGAGTATTTCAGTTTGTTAGTAGAGTGATGACACTATAAATAAAAACAAGGAGACATATTTGAGGCATATTGCAGAAACGAAACTATGGGACAAGAAGTTGTCTCAGAGAACTATTATTTCCAGTTGTAAACAACCGGCTTCCCAGATGGTGGGGAAGTGATAAGGAGGGACTAGATATGGAACTACATCCAACAGATAGGAAGAAACATCTAGCACTTCTGATTGGGTTCCACTTATCCAAGATAAAAAGACTTCTTTGAAACATAGCACACGAAACAGTTTCTTGCATTCCTGTAGACTTGACTCCTCCTACTTCTTAGAGTTGTGGTCGTCGTGTTTTTTTTTTTGTTTTGTTTGTTTTTTGGTACCAGGGATTGAACCCAGGAGTTTTATTTATATTTTATTAGAAATAGGATCTTGCTGAGTTGCTCAGGGATTTTCTAAATTGCTGAGGCTGGATTTCAACTTGGAATTCTCCTGCCTCAGCTTCCCGAGTCACTGGGATTACAGGCGTGTGTCACCACGCCTTGCTTATAGTGATCTTCTTGAATTTAATAATTCCAGCCCTATTGGTATAAATTAGGGCAGTTAGATGGACAGTAAATATTTAAACTGGGATTGCTACTATACTTTAGCAGCCGTTTTACAATCTGGTACTTAACATTTGTGGGAGTTTCCCATAAAGAATAGGCCAAGAGAATGTAGAATTTGGAAACAGATAGGATCTTTGATAGGAAAATTTGTTGACAAAATGATATTCAGTTTTAAAAAATCAAACCCAGGGGCTAGGGATATAGCTCAGTTGGTAAAGTGCTTGCTTTGCATGCACAAGGTCCTGGGTTCAATCGCCAGCACCACCACCAAAAAAAAAAAAAAATCAAACCCATACTAATAAGTACCATTTACTGAGTTACTCTTTGTGCTTAATTGTGTTAAGCATTTTTATTCACTGAATCTTCATCATGACAATCTCATTTTTAAATGTAAAGTTTGGGAAGATCAAATAAACACTAGAGTTACATAGCCAAATAAGTGGCAGAGCTTGATTCAAGCTCAGATTGGTCTGATAGTGTATGTATATTATGCTTAATGTGCAAACAATAGGCTTTTTTGGGGGAGGGGGTGGTACATGGAGAGTACTGTCTTTCTGTATTTTGGTCAGGTAGCTTATCTTTGAACCAAGACCTTGCATATGCCTCAAATTTTTGGTTCTCCTCCCTATCTGTGATTATAGATATACATGACCACCAAGTCTAGTCTAGTAGGATATTTTATTAATCTTCTTTTACAGACATATAATTGCTATTGATGTTGAAGACAAATCCCTCCAGTCAGTGACAATTGTGTGTTTTGCTTTCTAGGGCTTATTTGGAATCTGATGTTGCTATATCTGAGGAATTGATTCAGAAATACAGTAATTCTGCTCTTGGTCATGTGAACTGCACGATAAAAGAACTTAGACGCCTCTTCTTAGTTGATGATTTAGTTGATTCTCTAAAGGTAAATTTATTTTGCTTTTCATTTTTGACATACCAAAATTTAATATCAAGAATTGAGTATAAAATTGTTTTTCTGTATTCAAATAAATGATTCAGATATAATGAAATCACATTAGTGTGAACTTATGTTTTAAAATGTAGTATCTAATCATGTTTTGAGTGGAAGAAGGTGCTATTTATTTTTCAAATAACTTCATAGTTTGGGAAATTATATGAATTAAGAGTGGGGGGAAAAAAGTTGGATTTTGATTAAAAATAAAGATTGTCTAGGGGCCAGGGTTGTGGCTTAGTGGTTGAGCACTTGCTTAGCATGTGTGAGGCACTGGGTTCAATCAATCCCTGGCATCACATTAAAAAAATAAATAAATAAAATAAAGGTATTTTGTCCATCTACAACTAAAAGTATTTTAAAAGATTGATTGTATTAGATTTTAAAGAGTTTAGCACCTAGTCTTTTAGTTTTTATGGGATTTATACATGCACATAAGGTACTTCATATCTTGAATTCTTTCTTCAAGTGTTTATTCTGGAAAATATTTAATATTCTATTATGCCTCAGCTAATTTTGGTTGAATTGCTGGAAATTTGTCTTTAGTTATTGGATCTTGCTACATAGCATGTTAAGAATCTCATCTTACAAATAAACTTTCCCAAAGTTATGACTTTACTTGAAACAATTAAACCACAATCATATAACTTGAACCCCCCAATACTGAAATCATTAATGTTTCCTTCACATAGAACATGTCATTTGTGGTTTGTGTGCTGTGTGCCAATAACTCTGCTTAAAACAGACTAAATCCTTTTTGATCTAAGCCTGAGTAGAAATGTTGTATGCTGCTAATTCTTTTATTTTCAAGAGAAATGCTCTAGTTTACAGTTTTACCATGCAATTCATAATGTTGGACCAGTAGGCTTGGGGCTTTAGATTCAGAACAATTTCTGAAGTGCTCAGGATAGTTTTAAATGCTTAAATGTGCTTTTTTTTTTTTTTTTAAATAAACATTTTAGCTTTCATAAACTTGTAGATGATACATTATTTTTAGCTATGTGCTTCTCTTATTTTAGACTTGAAACCTAAGTAACTAATGATATCAACAGTAAATTACTTGGTTTTCTTTTATCACACATTGTCTCTTTTGTTTAGAATGGTTGCATTTAGTAATGTTTTGAAATGATCTGATGTCAGACTGTAAATAAAAAGATCACAGTTATGACATTTACCATGTTTGATTAATTAGTTTCAAAACAGAATTAAAATATTTTGGAGTTAAATACAATGAAACTTTGTACACTTAGTCTAGAAGAAATTGATGCCTATCAAAGTGATATTTGCTGTACATGGTTTAACTGTTGGGGTAGAACGTGGGTAAAAAATCATTGAGGAGGTACTGGTTCAGTTTAAGGTGGAGGGTTTGTGGGTAGGAATTGACTAAGAAGAAACACTGTTATAAACAGCAGAACTTTAAATAGCAGAGGTCCATCTCTGAATTTGGTTGGGGAAAGGTGACTTCAAACAATGTCATCATGAAGCATGAGAGAGGTGACATAGCCATTGTCTTCATAGGCCTTGTTTGCCCAATATAGTTAGTAAATGCCGCTATATGTCTGTAATTTAGTGTTTTTCTTGAGGGGAGAGGCATTCTTGGAAGAACACTATTTAAAAACCAAGTAAATAAATTGATCAGAAAATGAATTTTATATATTCCAGTTTTTATAAGTTTGAGAGTAAAGTTTCCATGTGTCTTTAGTTAAAAGAAAACTTACTTGATCTTTCGGAGAAAGTGTATTGTCATCTATTACACAGTCCTATCTGTAGACAGTTATATAGGCATGGGAATATTTGTCAAAGGGAAGGGGAAATGAGAGAATGGTAGGGGAAGGCTGATTTAGACACTTATAAAGACTTTTAAATCTGTTTTGTAAAGATATTTGAAAATAGAATATGAGGAAGTTTCATGAGTAAACTGCATGGGATAGTTTCTTTTTTGCTGTTAAATATAATTTTAAAATTTCTTTTGAAAATTATCTTTTTTAAAAAAGCAATTATTTCCAGGTGTGGTGGGCATAGTTGTAATCCCAGTTTACCCTAGTAGGCCAAGGCTTGGGAGGATTGCATGTTCTATGATAGCTTAGCAAATTTAGCAAGACCCTCTCTTGGGGTGGAGAGGTTAAAAGGGTTGGGTGTGTACCTTACAGTACACTACTTCTGGGTACAATCCCAAGTACTGGGGGAAAAACACAACTAAACACTCAAGTTGATAAAGTCTTGCATTGGGTGTATTGAATGACATTGCTAATTTAAAATGACCGATTTATTTTCTGAAAGTCTTATTTTTATGACATTTTTGTACATTTCTAAAGCATTCTTTGTTTTTTTTTAATTGAAGAAAAAAGATTTACATGAATTGTACTTTGCTAACTTTTTTTTGAAAATAAGAAAATTATGTTTTTAGGCAAGCCAAGAGCTCAAGGAAAGCTGCTTGATGACTTACCCAGAAAGTGATTCATTTAGGACTCAATAATAGTTGGTTTATTATGTTAGCACATAAAGTTAACCTGGCATTAGGTCTCAATCTGTTGAGATAAAAGTATAAGGTGGGGTATCTGTTTTTTTCTCACCATGCAAAGACAATGGTAATTTAAGTGCACAAAGGGACTTCCTTGATGAATTTTGTAATTCTACTACACAAGAATTTATTTAAACCTTTTCTTGCTACTGTTTTTGTATGTGAATAGTACAGATTCTGTTTCCACTGAATAAGGGTAATATTATATAAATACAGAATTCTTGCTTAAGAAAGTCGAGGGAAAACTTACTAGCACTCTTGCCTCTTTACAGAAATAATTGATGGTATTCTTTTCTAGAGAGATTTCCTGGGTACTTACTTGCCTTCTGTATATGGCCATACTTATCAGAATTTTTGTTTATGAGAGCATTTTAAAAAGTAAATGATTTTACTTCTGGGAGTAGACACAATTACTTTTTGCTTTTTAGCCACAACAACTGGTAAAAGTAATATTCTTTTACCCTAAAGCAAACAAAATTTTATTTTACTGATTTATTTTAGACTGACTTATTTTTGCTTCCTTATAGTCACATTTTAAATCTGAGGAAAGTTTGCTAATAAATAGTTCTGGTCTCTCTGGTTTCTAGATGAACTTGTGATCTTGTTAATAATACTAATTTAAAAATTCATATACCAGCTTTTGATTGGAATTCCTTTGATTTAGTATGATTCCTAAGTAAGAAAATGGAAACCATCCTAATTTCTAGAAAATATAGTGGAAATTTATTTAGAAAATATATATTGTATCAAGCCCTGTGGCTTAGATAAAATAATAGCTTTTAAACAAAAATTTGAAAGCAATTTCTCTAACTCATTGCCTTGATAAATGCAAGACATTTTGGCTCCCTCAAATTTATATGACCTACATTTTTAGATTCTGGGTCACAGTTACCACTTCTGTTTGAAATCTTCCTCAGAAATTAAATTCTTACTAGCATGTGAGACTTTTTCATACTTTCTCTCCCCAGCAATATGAGGGAAGAGGCTGTTCTTTTAAGTGTGATCAAAGAAATAATTGCAGGCTCATCAGTTCTAAGACCTGACATTAATTTGTAGGCATTACTGTGCTTGGAAACAGGTTTCTTGGTGGTTGACTTTGAGCACATAAAAATGTGTTTTGTAGATTTCTTCTTTAAAATTGTGTGATAGTTCCATTTGTTTTACCCCTTTGAAATTAGCTACAAGCTTCGAAGTCCTAGAAAAGATTTTGAGTGTCCAGAGGTTGAGCATTAATTCATTTTCTAGTTGAACAGTATAGGAAAAATCACTGGCAAAATATTTATTCTTACAGTTCAGTAGAACTTAGTTCAAACATTTAATAGTATAAAATTTTACTGCAGCTAAATGCTTTGACCAGACCCCAGGATTTGTTTTAAAAGTTATATTTCTTAAAGTGGATATGTTCCATTAATTGCCCCTCATAAAGTTGATGGAAATAAATATTGAAGGGACAAGGAGGAATGTCCTTCAGTAATAAGTTGAGAGAGCTGTGCATGTGTTCCCATCCCAGAGTCTAATGTATATAGTCAGTCTGTGAGAAGTTGGAAAGAGATTGGATAACTTTTTGACCTAGTGATATTTGTCAAATTTTGTGAGATTTAAATGGTATGGTAGTTGGAACAAATTTAAACCACCCATTTCCTGTGATTAATCTGTGTCGGAATCTTTGATAAGGAATCTGTTTAAAACAGTGGTTCTCAGTCTTGGCTGCACATTGGGATCACCTGGGGACTTATAAAATTAAAAAATAACTGGGAAAATGGCAGGGCAGAGGGTCCCATCCCCTGAAACTGATTTTCTCTAGGTGTACTGCCTGGAGAATCACTGTTTTGGCAATAGCTCTAAACCTGGATTATTCCCCCAACCAACCCCCATTTTAAAATGATGATAAGTCTTTACTGGGCTCTGCTTTGGGGCCAATTGAGGGAAGTTACATGCTTTATTTGAAAGCCCAAATTCCAAGAAGTCATCTAATAGTTTTACAATAAACCAAGACTAGATATTTTCTGCACAGGTTCTTATGTTTCTGTAATGTGGCTTTGGATGATAAAGATTATACCTTTCAATGAAAAATTTTTGTTAAAATTGTATGAAAATTTCTAGCTGTAGCTGACTGATATGCAATTGTAATGTTCTAGGTATAATCTTCAATCTGAAAGCAAGTAAAAGGCCTGAGCTCCAGAAATAGTTGACCCAAAAGAATGTTAAAATCTAGCCCTTGGGCATTTATGCTGCTGTTAAGGTACACAATTTTGACAATTTTCTGTGAAATTTCTTTGACTCACAGAAAAATTAAAAGGGAAATACACTGCCAATGTAGAGAAATATACTAATGAATAAGTCTGAAGTTTCATAAAAGGCCAAATAATTTTTAGTGTTTAAGAATGAAGAAAGTTTTGAAATTGTCAGAATTGCCAAAGCAATATCTGAAATTATTAACATCTCCTTCCTCCATTTTCTTTAAAAATTCCCTCTCCCCCCATTTGAGACATCATAACTTTGCAGACCTCTTAATCATTTGTGTGATACATAGTTAATTACTTTACTCCCACAGAAGAAAGGCTGTCCTTGCCCTTTTTCAGTGTTTCTTATTTCTTAGATCTTCATCTTTGCATATTTCACCTCTGCCCAAAGGAGAGGTGAGCTTTGACTTCCAGTTAATGCTTATTTGGCTATAATGTTGCAAAGTATTTGCAATAGAATGGCCTAGAGTCGATTGTTCAAAATACTTTTTTTTTTTTTTTTGTCTTCCTTTCTTTTTGCTACCAGGGATTGAACTCAGAGACACTCAACCACTGAGCCACATCCCCAGCCCTATTTTGTATTTTATTTAAAGACAGGGTCTCCACTGAGTTGCTTATCAGCATCTTGCTGTTGCTTAGGCTGGCTTTGAACTCACAATCCTCTTGCCTCAGCCTTCCAAGCCACTGGGATTACAAGTGTGTGTCATCGCACCAGCTCCATGCTTCTTTAAAGTTGTGTTTATTGGTGTTAAAGTGGTGATTCAGGGTGGAGCGCTTGCCTCGCACATGAAGCACTGGGTTTTGTCCTCACACCACATAAAATAAAGGTATTGTGTTTATCTACAACTAAAAAAAGTTTGTGTTCATTGAATTTTTTTTTTCCCTGCCTCATTATGGTACTATGTACATTTGTTATGGATTCTCACTAATAACTGGTTACTCTGTAGGTGACTTATAGAAGAGCAGGTTCTGGAATTGGATATACTGGAGATCACTGAGATCACTATGACCTAGATAACTTTTTTTTCTTTTTTGGGGGAGGCATGTAGATGGACACAACACAATGCCTTTATTTTTATGTAGTTCTGAGAATCGAACCTGGGTCCCGCTCATGCTAGGAGAGCGCTCTACCGCTGAGTCACAATCCCAGCCCTAGCTAACAACTTTCTTAATCTTTCTGCCTTGTCTTTTCTAGAAAGATAACAACACTGTTTAATGTTTGGGTTAATTATGATAACTGACCAATGCATATAAAACACATCAACTATCTTAAAAAAATGTTTAGAAAAAAGTTAGTCACTTTTGTTATTATGTAACAGTTCCAGTAATTATGCAAATGGTAGAATGCTAATTCTTAAGTGAGACCTCCTTTTTCTTGTCTATTGTTTTTGTTTTGGGAAGAGAGAGAGTTATTAAATTTTCTCCAAATGTAGCTATAACATTTACAACTTCTGTGATAGCATATAAAAATGTATATTTCTGGCTTTTTTTTCTTACAATGGGAAAATTTGGCAACATTGGCCTAGAACACTTGGGTATCCCCAGTTATGGAGCTGGGTTGTGGGTGCTCCTTGATAAGGACAGTGCATATGCTCTCTCATCCAGCTTTCCTTGTGCAGCCCAAGGACTGCAGGACTTTTGAGGCCTGCCTCTGTTCCTTGCCTCTGGATAGCCTGGCTCTTAACAAGTGTCCTCAAAATGGCAAATAACATTTATAGATGACCTAGGTGGGAAGTCTTGAGCTTCTCTCCTTGTGGAGTTGGAGTGCAGCCTGGTCAGTGTCAGTAACTGTGATGATCAAATTGGTAGCATGCACATGCTAAAAATAAGCCCTATCTGAATTCTGTCATGGTAAAGTTATCTGTATTGCTAAAATAATTTCTTCTAAAATGTGGAAGGTTGATTTTTTTTCTCTTTAGACTAATGGATTGTGGTGGATGAAAACAGCTCTCTAGGTGTATAGTAACTTGCCCAGGTAAAAAATAATAATCAGAATACAGAATAATCAATGTAGATGGTTGCTAACAACTTTCCCTATCACATAGTTGTCCTTTAAACCTTTCAACTACTGTCTCAGAAGCTATCTAAGAACAGGGAGGCATTTTTATTATTTTCAGTTGACAGATGAATGCCTGATTTTCTTACTTAAATAGTAGTTAAATTCAGTTTGTAGGGGTTATCAAAGTGTTACTTTTGGTAGAACTGACAGTTTGTAGAGGAATTCAATGGGCCTTCCTAACCTGAAGTGTGTTCACTCAGATTTGAACACCTTAATGTTCAGTACCCAACTCATAGTAGGCAGCTTTTGTTGAATGAATGGATATGTTACGAAAGATAATATTTTAGATCAAAGGTTAGAAACTAGTGTCTCTTCAGCCCAATATCTAGTTTTGTACAGCCTGGGAGCTAAGAATGGTGGCTCAGAGCCACCATTAAGAGGTTGTTAAAAGAACAACAATACAAAGAATATGAATTAGAGACCCTAAAATGCCCATAAAACCTGAAGTTTTTACTGCCTGGCTCTTTAAGGAAAAAGTTTGCTGATTCCTGGTTTATAATCTAAATGCTAACTATTCTCCTTTTCTTTTATACTGTGTTAGATGCACACCAGAATAATCAATGTAGATGGTGGCATCATTGTGATATGTTTGTCACCTACTTAAACAGGTCAGAGTGATTGCCAGATGCTTTGGATTAGGAAGCACAGTTAATTGCAGATGATGAATATTTGATAAAATTCAGACTAACTTGTGCTTATAAGTTTTCAAGAGCTATTTTTGAACATGTCATTGAACCTTTGTATTATATGATGTCATGAAATTTTAGAACTGGAAGAAAACTTTCAAATCTTGTCTAACCATTTAGAGAGTATGGAGGTGAAAGGAAATAATGGATGTCTCCAAATGAAATTGCTTTTCAGAAGCAAAGCTTTTAAACCCCAACTGTTTCATTTGATGATTAAAAAAAAAAAAAACTCAGATTTTGAAGCCAGGAGTACTAAAAATAGAGTTTGGTCAGTTTGTTGCAGTCATCAGCCCCTGGACCGGACAGTGGAATCTAGTTGCTATAATCTGACATCAGACACATTGTTAAACCTGTCTTCTATTGTTTGCATCTGCTAAGGTAATGGTAATGATCTCATAAGGGTAAGAGGGCTAAAGGAATTTATAAAGTTGTAAATAGTACATTTGTAAAGCATATATTAATATTTGTTAAAGGCAGCAGTGGTTAAAATAATAATGGTCAGTTTTATTAATAGGTATAAAAGTATGAGGAGTCCTCCTTCCCAAGATTAATTATGGCCCTTAAACATTCATCACTGGGCAGATAAGTACCTGATCCTTAAAATTCTAGAGGTAATATTTTTGGTACCTGAAGCCTAATTTCCCAGATAAGTACTCCCTGTCCCATCATTGCTCATCAGATGTGTAATATATATATATATATAAAATACACGTTATATATATCTTCAAGCACTTTTGTTAGTACTTTAAAACCAATTTTAATAGTTAAGCCTTGTCAGTTTTCCCTTTTAAAAGCTAAATAACTTCAGAGGTAAATGAATATTAGAGCTGGAGAGGTAAGGGATTATCTTTGGCATGTTTTCTGATTTCAGAGGAACAGATTAACTTGTATTGTAATCTACCCCCAACCCCCCAAAAAAAGATATTGAGTTAGGTTTCTGTAATTGAATTGAGGCTGGTGAGTTGGAGTCATTGAGATATTTTTGTTTAGAGTATGTGCTGTACCTCTAGTATGTAGGCAGTTTAGACAGATGCTTTTTGAGGAAATGTAATTACAAAACTTTACTTGAATTATGCTTATAATAGGCTCTTGTTTTCTTATAGTTTGCAGTGTTGATGTGGGTATTTACCTATGTTGGTGCCTTGTTCAATGGTCTGACACTACTGATTTTGGGTAAGTCTGCAAAACCATTGGAATAAAAAAATTGCAGTGCAAGGAGCTTAAGACATTGTAGTGTAGAATATTCTTAAAAATGATGTAAATTTGAGGTTGTGATAGCTTTAAATAGGTGAACAGATACCGTATTTATTGAAATATACTACTTTAGTTCCTGAAGACTGTTCCACCTAACTAACCATGTAAATCAGAAAATGTGTAGCCTCACCTGATGGTGCAGTCACAAGTCTAATCCGGAAAAAAAAAACAACAACAACAGTGTGATATGATTTGAAATTGAAACTAGACATAGTTCCTGTAGCCTCAGGTAATTTGTTCCTCTGGAGTGGTACTTTAGATACATCTTGTATATTTGTTTGTTCATTAGGAACACTGCCTGAGTGAGTGTTTCCAGTTTGATAGTTTAATGTTTGTACCCTGAATTGTTCTACTCCTTTAAAGTTTTGAATTTCCTTTTACAGCTCTGATTTCACTCTTCAGCGTTCCTGTTATTTACGAACGGCATCAGGTAATTTCTTAATTGTAATTTAAGAATACAGAGCTCACTCCAAAACCTTATAAAAAGCCTTTGTTGGCACTTAGTAATGCTTAAATAAGATACATCAGCAATGATAATTTTCTAATAATCCTTTTTATTTCCGTTTTCAGGCACAAATAGATCACTATCTAGGACTTGCATATAAGAATGTTAAAGATGCTATGGCTAAGTAAGTATAATCCGCAACTTTTCTAAGGATGAAGTGTGCTGGTTTGAAAATACTATAATCTTTTCATGTTACAGGCATAATGAGTAGCAAATCTCCATCAGAGTGATAAGGGTTGGCAAAATATTTTTTCCTGATATTAACATCATTATTTTCTAGGTTTATTTAGGCATTTTTAATCTGTGAGGCAAAGGTAGCAAAATGATAGGTAATAATTTGGCAGCTTTAGGACTTCCTTTCTTGTATAAGCTAAATAATATATAAGTATCTGTGGGGAAAAGTACCCAGTGATGATAATATTTAGGAAACATAGCCATTTTTTTCTTCTTTATCCCATTTAACTTGTACTTTAATGAAGCACTCAATTGCACTATGACCTTCTTGAGTGAGGTGCAACTTGGTTCCTCTGTTTTTTTAATATGCAAATGTGTGTGATCTTCAGTGTTTGCATTTTAAAACCAGTTTTCTGAAATATTTCTATTGAAATAAAATTTTTCAAAAAAGATATCATAATGATATTTACCTTGACCATTTTTCCCCTTCTTTTCATTTGTAGAATCCAAGCAAAAATTCCTGGATTGAAGCGCAAAGCTGAATGAAAAAGCCCAAAACAATTAACAGTAGTTCATCTTTAAAGGGGATATTCTTTTGATTACATGGGGGAGGGTCAGGGAAGAATGAAACCTTGACATAGCAGTGCAGTTTCACAGATCTTTATTTTTAGCAATGCACTGTTTGAGGAAAAATTACCTGTCTTGACTGCCATGTGTTCATCATCTTAAATATTGTAAGCTGCTATGTATGGATTTAAATTGTAATCATATTTGTTTTTCCTATATGAGGCACTGGTGAATAAAAAGTAATCTGAGAAAACTGTATATTACACTTTGTTGCAGGTAGTCTTGCTGTATTTGGGGGAAGTTGCAGAGAAGGTGGAGCAAGAATAAAACCCCTTTTCACAGTTTGTGCACTGTGTATGGTTGTGTAGATTGATGCAGATTTTCTGAAATAAAATGTTTAGATGAGATCATACCACTAAAGCAGGATTGAAAAAGCTTTGCCTTTTTGGTATGTTCTAGGTGTATTGTGAATTTTACTGTTATATTAATTGCCAATATAAGTAAATATAGTTTATATATATCTATATATAGTGTTTCACAAAGCTTAGACCTTTACCTTCCGGCTGCCCCACAATGTGCTTGATATTTCAGTCATTGGTTATACATGTGTAGTTTCAAAGCACTTAAGCTAGAAAAAGAATATATTTCTAGGAGCACTACCATCTGTTTTCATCTTGAAACAATGCCACATACATAGAACTCCAAAATAAAATTTCATTGCACAAAACTTACTGTAGTTAATTTTGTCACAAACTCTGGGTCTATATGGACTGAATCTAATGCTTCCAAAAATGTTGTTTGCAAATATCAAACATTGTTATGCAAGAAATTATAAATTGAAGACTTACACCATTGTGGTTTAAGCTGTACTGAACTAAATCTGTGGAATGCATTGTGAACTGTAAAAGCAAAGTATCAATAAAGCTTATAGACTTAAAATGTGTTTGGTATTTTGATTTCATAAAAGTGTGACAGATTGTGTACACAAAGGGTAGACTTTGCTTCAACCAGTTAGAGTGGCAATTTGTGCTTTTAGAGTTTCAGCTATATTTACTTCAAACAAAGGTCAAAGAACATGTTTACATAATCAAATTTATTTGACACCAAAATGTTTTTAAATTTTATACTTTGAAAATAAATTCATGCACCAATATTTTAACATGTAGAATACAGTGCAGGATTTATGAACATACATAAAATTATACCATATAAATGTTTACAAATAAGATTTAAGAAGTTTTCTTGACACAGACACTATTGCTCTTTAAATAGTTGTACATATCATTTCTCAGTTCATTTTTTTGTCCACATGGTTATTTGAATACAAGATCCAATTCAGTATGAAAGGTCAGTAGTACAATATAGGCAGACATGGTTATCACTCAGCATCACCAGTCACATGGTTACAGAAAACAATTAGAACTGCATAGGGACTCTACTGTGGGCCCAACAACCTATTAGTGGATTAATGTAAGGCATTAATAAATTGGCATATAAAAATAACTTAATGAGTAATCTAATCATTTAGAATGCTGAAGCACTTCTGTGGTAGATGTTAATCTATTCTTTAATTGAAAATGCTTCATTTCACCTTTTCTCTAAACTGACAACTGCAAATAGCCAGGAACTCAAGTTTCAGAATTTCAGTGCACTGACTGACGGGACTAGTTGGCGTCTGTGCTTAGCCACCTTTCCTCTCAGTGATTGCTGTCAGCCCCATCCAACAGTTAGTGGTTGACTGTGTATAAGTTGACTTGAGGGGCTTTAGAGATGGCTTCAAATTAATATTGCCCAAACATATTCTGTTGGACAACTACCTCAGGAGCTCAAAGCTGAGTTATTTTTTTTCATAATTTTGATTCAGCAACTATTCTTCAGACTTAGGACTCTGTTCTGCAGAATTTGAAAATCTGGACTTGACTCTGTTCTGCAGAATTTGAAAATCTGGACTTGTCATAGTTCACCCCACTCGACCCCACTCCACCAGTGGTAAAAACCAAGGTGTAGCTTCAGGTCACCTCATGTGTTACCATTTAAAGATTTAACAAGACAAATCAGTTCAATTCCATTTGGTCATACTTGAGTTTTATTTGTTTTCCTTTTCTGTTTTGTAATAGAGGTTTGTTTTGATTTCTAGTTTGAATTTTGTAGGTTTGGCACTAATCTAATGAAAATTCATTCTACTTTCTACTGAACTTAAGTTCCTTTGCTGCTCACCTTCCTTATAACCACCATTTCTCAAGCAATTAACTGATGTCTGTCATTTACAAAGCCTTGACAAACACAGGACATGGATGACAGAGTGAATCTGCTAAGGGTCCTGCAGCCCTCCTCAGTTTTGAAGTTTTAGCACCATATGTAGAAAGGAGATAAACTTTGTGGGAGGTGAGACAGCAGCCCACACACTGGAAACTTTCAAAGGCACTTAATGGATATAAAACTGCAAAGGAAACATTAAAAAATTAAGTTTCTCAACTTGTTTATAACATGGCTCATTTGGTTTTGAAAGCTAGATGTGGAGAACAGGCTATTTCTAGTACTTCAGTGCATCTAACTTAAGCTGTGTTCAACTTATTTGTAAAAATGAACATTCTTGAAGTATTATAGAAACAGAATAGCAAAACATCTTTTGTAAAAGTTTTGATGCAAATTAAAAGCTACATATTGGTTAGGGTTAACTGAGGATTTAAATTTTGTTATTGGGCTACATCATCAGGATTTGTCAATGTAGTTAATACATTTAGTTTTTAATCTCCTGGAGAGAGACCAGCAGACTTTACATTTTAGAACTTTACCTTCCCTCTTGGCATCACAGTTTTGGGGAGTCCAGATTATGGGAGCAGTCATAGAATTTCACTAGCATTTGGAGCTTGTGCGTGCCCGCAGCATCGTAGGCATTTCCCAGCAGCTTCGGCACCACCTCGGCACTGCCTCTGCATTTGCTGGGTTGTAGCAGTAGCAGCAATAATAACTATTATAAGAAATTTCTGCATTTACAGACATCGCCACACAAATACACTGAAAAAGAGAGACCAAATAGTCATTTTTGTATGGCTGGACATACGTCAAATGGCAAACAAACAATCTTGCCAGGTGTTCAGGAATCAAGCTCAGGAGATGTGTTGAACATTTTTAATAAACAAGGAATCTTGACTCCAATTAAGACTTACAGGTCCCCCCCACCATGGCTCTTTTTATTTAAAAAGGGTTTTTGTTTGTTTGTTTGCTTGCTTTGGCTCTTTCAGCAGCTTGAGCGTCTGTGCTGAATGTGGTGAGAACTTTTGAAAACTTGACTTTACACTCTCTCCTGTTACTATCAGAAAGGTTTTATCGATGCCACTCGAATTGGAGAGCTCTTTTGAGAGTTTAGCACAGAGCCAGGGATCATAGTGTACTCACATGCCTACCAAGGCCTGCAGGCCCTGCATTTTTACAGTTAGTTCTAAAGAAGACTTGTATAGGAAACAAGTCACCTATCTCCTGCACTGGGGTGACCAATTGACTTAGGTCTCTTGTTCCTAGTTTGTTCAGTCTGACTGGTTCTCTGAATGGGTGTTTACACTCTGTAACTGCCAGTACTATCAAGAGTTCAAGTGCCAGCAACAGTTGGCACTGCAAGGTAGCTCCTAGACAGGCATCAGAAAGCCTCGTTGGTGCCATGTTCTATGCAGTGCTTTTGGGTGGGAAGTAGATTCAAGTCTTATGTTTACCACAACGTAACTTAGACTACTAAAGATATTAGAATACATGTGTTTTATATCCCTTTAAGAATTTTGCTTGGGTTGAATGGAAAACAACATTCATACTGCAAGAAAGTCTTCTGATATCAGATGTAGAAAATCTTGAGAATCACTTAGTCCTGTTCCTCCATGCTCTTAAATATCCTTGGTGAAGAGACAGAAGGCAGCTGCCTACTCTGAAGTGCTTAGAAGGCTAATACTATTTGCGGAGCAGTTCAGTATGCATTCATCTAAATTACTGGCTTCCCCAGGCACAGCTCATGTAGAACCATGTGCCTCTTTCACACTAAGGTCAAAAGCTGCCCTAGAATGGTAGCATAAATAGCAAGGTGGGGTTCTCTTGCCACTAACTAGCACTGGGCCTTAGTATTACTTCTCATCTGATCTCATGTCACACTGGCTAGCACTTGCCAAGGGCAACCTAGGCACAGTGTTGTATTTTGAAAACTTCACTTGGCTGGGGATTAATCATGCATCCTAAAGACACTGGTGACTGGGAATTCTTAAAAAGACATGGATGAATTCTACTCTGTCAATGATGCCTGCCAGCTGTCCAGCCACCTTTGTACCTACCTCTCCAGCAATGATCAGAGTAGTTGTTGCATGACAGATTGGGTTGAACATCACAATCTGAATACCTTATACTTTAAAAAGTCCTTTCTTTCATTAGGACTCAGTAATATTTCCCATTTATTGTCCCACATCGTCAGCTCTTTGCCATGTCCCTGGCAGAGCCTGGCCCAAAGGATACCTGAGATGGGGAGTGAGAGAAGGAAGGCCTGAGGAGTCAGGACCAGATTAACCATGTTAGTACCTGCAGTCGTCTCCTCCAGTGCTGACCACATACTTGTCATCGTAAGAGAAACGGATATTTGTCACATGAGCTGAGTGACCAAAGTAACGTTTATGTTTGGCCTGTAAGAAAAGGAAAATGGAGATAGTTAAGGGATCCTGCTCCTCCTAGCAACTACAGAGCACTTTCAAGACTCACACCCCCATCTCTCCAGAACTTCTTTACTCGGGGGATTCCCACTGGGGCTGAACAGCATCAGCCAGCCAGCCTTTTGCTGACTTTCCTGTCTCATCTTGCTCCACTTGTGGCCATTTTGTCCACCTTCCATCATTCCTTCTCTCAGGTTCCAGAGGGAGATGAAAAGGTTAGTCACTGTCAGATCTTCACAGGGTTGGGACAAGATGCCTCTCTCCCCCAGATACCACCTGGATGTGGCCATTATATCCCATAGACTTCAGAAGAGCCCAGAAGCAGAACAGGGAAGTTACTCGGGAAGACTCACAAATTTTTCTGTGCAAGGAAAATCAAACAGCTTCACCAGCCCAAAATCATCTCCTGTGACAATGTTCAGGCCAGCATGAGTCACACACGCACAGTTGACATCAGCCTTGTCAGCATTTCTTGGCCAAATGCCAATGACTTCGTCCCCTAGAATGCTGTTCATCAGGAAGAAATGTTAAGGGGAAGACACATGAGCAAGTCCTGTGGACAGTCATTCCCTCCTAGGGATAGGAGGGATATTTTGCATAATCCAGTATGGTCATGTGGCTCTTCTGTCAAAGCATCCATCCGCCCCCCTTCTATACTCTTGTGCCAGCTCTTACTATTACTTCTCTCATTCTCCCACACTCCAGAAAAGTTACCCCCATCATTAATTCTCTCCCTCTTCCCTCTAGTCCTCAATATGTGAATGAGAAGGAGAAGGGAAAGAAGGCTCCTTCAGACTCAAAAGTTGAATCTTCTCTTGCTGACAGCGATTCTGGCCCTCTCATTCCCTTCTGGTGACTGGAAGTTTCACTGTGTACCTGGGCTTGGCCAAGAGACAGGAATTGGCTGCCCTCTGAACTTCTTGGCTGGGATTAGGAACTTGGAGTGACTACATGAAAAAAGGACTTCACATTTCAAAAGCCCTGATCAGATCAAGCCATCAGCCTATACCAGTGCCAAGAAGTCTCCCCCCCCACCCCACCCCCAGGGGGGAAAAAAAAAAGAGCTCTGCCTCTGTCTGCACTTCTGCAGATCCTGGCCATCACAAATCCAGAGGCAGAGCCAGGGACAAAAGACTCCCTTATGGGCTTCCTTAAGAAGTGCTTTCTTCAGTTACCTTGTCCAGGAAGCCCAGGTGATCTTCTCAATGACCATGGCTTCAGTTACCTGCTTCCCCAAGGGGACCTCATGCACCTGGCGCTTATAGGCTCCTGTTGACACCTGCAAGTGGAAGGGAACCCGAGTTCATCAACTTTCTCAGTCCAAAGACTTCCCTTTTGGGGTGCTATTCTGAGGATAGGCCCAGACTCTGAATCTATAGGGCTTTTCTCAAAATCCAAGGTCAGATCCAGGCCACAAAGCCCGGGACCAGCCCACGGCAAAATTCAGAGCACAGGGTGTTTTTCCATCATTTTCTCACCGTTTCCCAAAGTCCTAAGGCAGTGTTTCCCAAGTGATGCTGACAGCATCATCTGGAAACCTGTTAGAAACAAATTCTCAGTAGCACACCAGACCTGCCAAATCTGCCATTTCAAGAGTGGGGCCCAGAAATCTTAAAGCCCCCAAGTGTTTCTGAAACAGGCATCCCTGTCGTCAGAGAACGTGTGGTATGAAGATAAGGCAAGTTTTCTCATGGACAGCAGCTGCTGAAATGAATTGTCTAGGACCCGATCTAGAGTCTTCTATAGGAAATGGATCACCTTTTGCACAGTCAAGGTCATCTGCTAGCACCTGCCAGTCAATGGCTACTGCCTACATCTTTACCCCACTCTCTTCCCAGGGTGCCTCTACTCCAGCCACCCAGGCTTTCCTTCTGTTCATGTAATGAGCAGGGCTCTCATGCAGATGGCCTGGAACAGTGTTTCCGCCCCTCTGTTAGCTACCTCCTACGCATCCTACAGACCTCAGCTTAAATATCAATTGCTCAGACAGGAAGCAAATCTAAATTCAGCACCTTGCTAAATGCTCCCCAGCACCCTTTACTTCGCCTTTTTCTTAGCATGCAATCACAGACTGTAATTAGATGTATATTTTGTAATTGTTTAATGCTTTATCTTCTCCGCAATTGATCAAGTTCCAAGAGACAGGGACCAAGCCCATTTTGTCTGTCCAAACACCTAGCATCATATCTGGTTCAGTAAATAGCTGATGAATGAATGAATGCATTCTCTCTCCTTTTGTGGTGAATACCTAACCTCAGGCTCACAAATACATAGTATTTGTTGAGTGCTGCAGAAATCTTTCTTTTGATTTCAGCTGTCAGTCCCAAGACTGGGACCCCTCTCAATTTCAATCCCTCTTCCTCACTGGTCATCTCCTTGGGGACCCAATGATGAGTTCTTACTCCAGATCCACCATCTGGAATTCAGGTCCCAAGCATGGAGGGGCCACACTACCCAGCAGATTTTGGAAATAAAATGAGTAAACATAAGTGATACAAGCCTTTGTGCAGCCCCAGAGGACTAGAAATTAAGAAGTTTTGAAAGGGAGATGGTGAGGGGAAGCTAAAGAGTTTCCTAGTTTGTTTTTATTTATTTATTTTTTTACTGAAAAAAATTAAAGTGCTCTTTACTTTTAAATTTTTTAACTATTCTAAATTTCTCTAAGCCTCTATTTCTAAATTTATAAAACAGAAAAAGTAAAAGTACTTAAAGGTTTCCTGTGAAGAGTAAAACAGCATGTAACTAATATAAACTATTATTACTATTACAGTTATTTTTGGTTGCCCTTGACATAAGTAAACCCCAGGCATACCTGAATGTATTTGCTATCCGCAGAAAAGTCCATCTGAAGGACAAAGCTTGGGATATCTCTGCAGTAGCCAGTGCGGTTCAGACTTGTGCCCTGAGTGAGGTCATAGAAGTCAACTGTGTGCTCAGAAGAACCAACAGCTAAGAATCGGTTGTCTGGGCTGATTCTAGAAAAAGCAATCCAAGAGCATGGCCCATGAGGAGGCTGCTTGGGGCTGGTCAGGCATGGAGGCTGCTCTTTGATAGACCTCCCAGGCCCAAAGGCAGTGAGATCCTCCTTGTGACCTATATATGGGCGGCTTCTCCCTATAGTCTGTGGAATTCAACAATTTTTCTGGCTCAGATCCCACAGAAGGAAACAACTGTGTGCAGCCTTTTGTAGAATGATATCATATCTTATAAGCAGTTTTGCCACACTCATGTGGAAATTAGCAAAGACACGTCCAAGAATGAACACGTGAGGGGGCAACCTTTCATAGTTGGCTTGTGAAAGTGGCCCTCACATATCTGCTCCTCATTCCAGCCACAGCCCTTCTGGAAGGAACCCACTGGTAGAAGACAGTCTGCTTATGTACCTGATATCTTGGATGGCAGATTTCCGGTCTCGTTTTTTCCCCCAGACTTTCAGGCTGTTCACCAACAAGATGACAAACTCTCCATTCTTCATGCCAATAGCCACCATGTCCCCATCAGGGCTGTAGGCTGCACACCTGGCTGCATGGCCCAGGTTCACCTTGTTGAGCAGCTTCTACATTAAAATAAGGAAAGTCCCCTGAGCCCTTGCCTCCTCTCTTGCTGGTCTCCAGGGAAAATTCTGCACCAGGCCAGAATACTCAGGCTGCTAGCCCCTGTAGGCCACTACACCTCCTGCTTCTCATAATAAATGTCCCTCAGTAGCCAGGGTAACAGCATGTTTGATTATAACATCTTGGGGGACAGGATGTTTTAGGACAGGGTTGGGCAAATTTTTTCCGTAAACTTAGGTAACCTGTCAAAATATTTCAGACTACGTGCCACATGATCTTTGGCATAACCACTCAACTCTGCCTTGCAGCACAAAAGTTACCACCGATAATACATAAACAATTGAGAGTGGCTTAGTTGTAGAAATAGGTCATTGGCCAGATTTGGCCATTGGGTCATAGATTGACAACCTTTTACTTAGGGGAAAGAATGTGAACCTCAGCACCTGCTAGCACAAATCCTGAGCTCTGTCACTTACTAGCTGGGTGTATTTGGGTCAGTCACTTCCTAGGTTTCCCATTTACAAGGAAATTATATTAATATTGGTTTTGGAAGGTTTTTATAAGCATTAACAACCATGCATATGAAGTACCTGTACACAGTAGGTATTCAATAAACAACAGCTGTTAATTTAAAAGTTAACAGGAGTGTAACAACTACATTTATGCATTTGCATGTCTATTTGTTGACCTTTGTACTAAATAACAGGACAAAAATTTAGTAGCCATTATGAGATAAAATCAGGTATTTTAATCATTAGAACTTAAGTACTTGTTTTGGATTAGATGAAGTGGGAAACATTTTTTCCCCTGGTCTATTCTTTGCTGTTTTACCTTTGTCTCAGATGAATTTAAAATTGTTTTTCCAACTTCTAAAAGAAAACTTCTTGTAATTTTGGTGGAAGTACAGTAGAAATGTGTGACATTTTAAATTATTTTTAGTCTTTCCATCCAGGGAAGATGTGATTTTTATTTTTTTAGATTTTGTGGGTTCTTCCATGTAAAGAGAATCATCGTCTCAATTAGATAGATTATCCCTGTACTTTATGAGTTCATATACAGACACACAGCTACAAGACAGGCTGGGTGTGTGAGGGGACTTTTATTATTAGGCTTTCTAACTTAATTATTGACTTCTGGCTGATGGTTTGTCCCACCTGTCCCCCATCTCTGGCTTAACACCAGCCCCCTCCTCACTATGCTCCCACTTTTGGGGTATCTGAGTTGGGCAGAGTGAGTCCCTCACCTTGTCAGCCAGGTCCCAGATCCGGGCTGTACCATCATTGCTGGCAGAGATGAAGATGTCCTTGGAAGGATGTGTGGCCAGGCCCCAGATCTCCCCCTCCATGTGTCCATCAATAAGGATATTAGAAGCAGCATTTTTTTCACCAACTTCAATTATTTCTCCATCTTTGGTTCCTACTAAAATTTTTCCCTGTTATAATCAAAATACTATTAGAAAGAGGACAACTGTAGGATTCCATTCATATGAAGCACCTAGAGAAGTCAAACCCAGAGAGATGGAAAGCAGAATGAAGTTGCCAGGGACAGGAGGGAAGAGGAGTTGGAATTTAATGAGGTCAGAGCTTCAGAGACGGAAAGTTCTGTGGATGGGTGGTTGCACAACAAAGTAAATGTCCTGTCACCAGACTGTACCCTTTAAAATGGCTGGAATGGTTTTATGTATATTATGCCACAATAAAAAAAAAACATTTAAAAACCACTATTAGAGAAACTTAGGAAAGTTGCTTTGCTATGTTGCTATTAAAAGAGGAAAAGCATACAGGTGATTTGCTTTTAACAACTAAACTGTCTCAAGTGGCTCCCTCCATCCTTCTTGTTTTGCCTTTTCTTCATCAACTACCTTGGGTGGGTTGAACCCAGAGATCCTATCATCCAACTGCTGCTAGAATATTCCAGGGATTCACAACAAGCTCACTACAGGGTGGGGCAGCCAATCCTTGTTCTTGGACAGCTCAGACATTTAATAAGTTCTTCCTTGCGGGGAACAAAGATCTACTTCCTGACAACTTCCTGGTTCTGGGCCTACTCCTCCCTACGTCTCCCATAATTACTATCCCAGATGACTGTCATTTAACCTTTTTTAAAAATTTGTTCTTTTTAGTTATTTATGACAGTTGAATCTATTTTGATCTATTTATACAAGCACGGAATATATCTTATTCTAATTAAGATCCCAGTCTTGTGGACACACATGAAGGTGAGATTCACTGTGGTGTATGCATATATTTACACAGGAGTGTTACATCAAACTCATTCTGCTGTCTTTCCTATTCCTATCCCCCGATTGTTATTTAACCTTAAAAATAAAATTCCCAGTATGTGGACACCAACTCAGTTTTGCCTTTCTCATGAAGAACAACTAGAAAGCAAATTCTTAGGCTGATACCAATTTAAAAATATTATATACACAGGCTATTAAATAGAGGTTAAATTATTTGTTTACAAGTGCATCAAATCTCCTGGGGGTATTTAAGATAGGAGAATAAAGAAAACACGCAAGTTGAGGCTGTACCCCTGAGATTCTGATTTGCAGCTCAGATGTTTTTGATACTTAGCCAAAGTATGAGTTGAAAACCAATGGCCTTGAGCCAGACAGTTTGGCCCCAACATTCTCCCTACTGGCCTCATAACTCTAGACATGGCAAATTATTTAATCTGTTTGTAAGAATATAATCGATAATAGCAGCTGACATCTCCTGGATGACCACATGCCAGGTGTAACGAAGAGCACTAACGGATGATGCGCAGTCCTCACAACAATGGCGGGTGAGTGAAGGTTAGGAAACACGCCCAGGGTCACCCAGCCAGCTCTTCCTGAGGAAGTCACAGTTTACCCGGGTCCATCTGACTCAGCTAGGCTACACCCCACTGCAGTACAATCCACATCTTGAAGGTTTAAGAATTCTCTCTTTCTTGGCCAGGGCCCCAGAGGACAGCTCAGGGAAGACCAGCCAGGCTCACCTTGCCACGGCACACAGAGCGCACACACTCCACCAACTGGCCTGTCTCCAGTTGGAAGGCCCGACAGCGTTTCATCTCCTGGTCCCACAATTTTACGGCACCTCCTTCTTTGGTCCTAAAAAAAACCAAAACAACAACAACAAAACAAAAAAAAAAAAACATGAAGAAGCACTCAGCCTGTTGTCCTAAGATTTCCCCATGACCCTTCCCCAACTTCTTCTCCCACTCCTCAAGGTCTTGGGGACCCAGGACCGGCAGGATATCCCCTACTGGTAGGCCCTGCTGATGAGCCATGGCAACCTAAAACGCCTTCAATGTACTGTCTTTGCAGAAAATAAATCTGGAAAGTCAGACTGTGTTTTCATGACACCAACTAAGAATGTTTCTCTTGTCTTTGTGCTTCATTGTTCAGGCTTTCCTGTGTCACTGGAACTTCTGTCCCTTCTTTTCACTTCTCCTTCCTCCCTTCCCCTAGAGTTCCTAAGAGTAGCACTGGAAACAGCAGAGTTCCTGTTGCTTGAATGCCCCAGTTTATTTAAGAATACCTCTCACATTTTTAAACTACCAGGAACCCACCCTTCTACTTCTCTCTTATTTATGTGGTTTTGGGCCTCGGCCCTCTTAGAGAGCTGACAGACTGAACTCCCTAATGCAGAAAAGATAGGAGAACAACCATCTGCATTTTCCCCAAGTTCAGAAAGCTTCTGTTAGTTTCTCCCAAGACATTAACAAAAGACAAACTGCTTGCAAGAGGAGCTTCTGCTTACGGCCGCTCTTTCCCACCAGTCACGATGAGCCCGTCCCGGAGAGTGGTGTACATTGTAAACACGGGGCCTGTGTGTGCCTTGGCCACCAGCCGGATGAGAAAGTGGTCCTTCCAGACATAGACATCTCCATTGATGGCACCCGTGAACGTGAGGTTGTTCTGCAAACAAAGGGACATTTCCACACCAAGAGCACACTCAAGAGGGTCTCTTCCCAAGCCACCTGCTTCCTTATTTCTCTTGAACAAGACCTGTACAGTCAATTTTGTCTTCTTCATTAAGCAAAGCAGAAGAATTTGCAGGAAAATCACAAAAAGCATAAAGCAATTACCTGGCTTTGAAATTCACCCTTTATAGTTGGTTTTGGGCATTTTATTTCCCCACTGAGTGCAGTGCTGTATACACAAGAGCATGGCCTGGGGGACATCAGGGGAAGGGCCAGCTTCAGCCCAAGAGGAAACTTTCCTGGGACTCATCTATAAAGTGGATAAATCCACACACAGAGGACCAAGAATTGACTGCATTCCAAAAAGTCCCTGGGAGCTTGCACAGGCTGAGGGACTCCAGAGTCACTTAAGGGCAGCAGCTGAGGGTTGTGTGGAGCAAGAGATTTGGAAAGAAAAAGGACCACCACCTAGCTGTGGAAATTATTCCCAGCATCCTCAGAGCTATGTATTCAAGGTCTGCCTCTGGAATCATCTCCTTCAGAGGTGTGTGTGTGTGTGTGTGTGTGTATGTGTGTGTGTATGTGTGTGTGTTGGTCCTACTCTTTCTGATCAGTAGTTCGAGGAAAACATGGGGAAAAAACTCACCCATCTGTACTAAGAAAAGGGAATAATGGTTACTAAGAAGCCAGGAGAGGAGGCTAGGGTTGTGGCTCAATGGTACAGTACTTGCCTAGCATGTGTGGGGCACTGGGTTCGATTCTCAGCACCTCATATAAATAAATAAAATAAAGGTCCATTGACACTCCCCCCCCAAAAAAAATGCAGCAGCAGCAGCCAGGACAAAAGAGATAAGGTAGAAATGGGGCTTCTTGCTTTTTCAGCTTCTTGGCTAAATTTCAACCCCCCACCCTCATATCTGGGGAGAGAAGTGAGAGGGATTCCGGGTCTCTACTGGGGAAGCATCAGTTGGAACTCACAGCACCGAAGGCCACTGACAGCATCGTCTGCATCTTGGCAGCCTCCATGGACCCAATGACTCCTTTCTTGTAAAGCAGGGCGCTGCCTGCCAGGGTCCAGAACTTCATGTGTTTGACCCCGACAGATACAAACTGTGTGTCGGAGTCAGGGCGAAATTCCACCACAAATATGCGCTCCAGGTGACCCCCTCGGCTGGCAACCTTGGCACCTGTAGGGGTGACAGCATCCAGTGAGGCCAGTCCTTCCTCAGGGCACACGCTAGGCCAGGGAAGCTACAGCCTAGATGGGTTCCCACCCCAGTGGGCTTCAGGCCCACCTCAGTGTTCCTTCAACAGCACCCTCTCCCCTTCACACTCTGTCTCCAAAGACTGGAGCAAGAGTATGTCTAGGAAATTTCCAGAGCTAGGAACTGCAAATGGGAACCCCAGCCCCTAACCCCACCTAGGTGTCCAAAAACAGAGCAGAAAAGGATGGCCCCAGAGAGGGAAGCTCCCAGACAGGAGGAAAAGGCAGAATGACTTAGGGCAGCCCCACCTCCCTACTCCAGCATCACCAAGGAGTCCCCCCACCCCCGCTGTCCCCCACAGGAAGCCAAATCCCCTTCCAGGGTACCAATGGGGACTCACATTCCTTTAGAAAACTTATTGCTCTCCAACATTTCTGAGATAGTTTTCTTAAAAAAAAAATTCTCCATATTCCTTTTTACATTGTGGGTTTATTTTACCTTTAATATTTAATTCTGAAGTTTTTTCCTTAATCCATTTTTTGTAGTCTCCTGAGTTTTATTTAACCTTTGTCTTAATCAAATCCCAAATCTACTATTTATTTACTTTCATGCCTCAGTTTTCTCGCTATAAATTTGGGATACTAATAGCTTCGTTTTATAAGGTGTTGAGGATTCAAAGGGATTTACATAGTGAAGCTTTCAGGGCAGCTATAATCATCGCTTCTTTACCTCCTTTTAAAATTCCTTGGTCTCCATTCTTTTTTTACCTGTATTTTAAATCTACCTTTTTTGATGTCATTAATTTTTATTTTAAACTTGGTACTTTTTCTTTCAAGTTTCAAAATTTAACATTCTCAGGGTTTTCATTCCAACTTTTAGTTTCCCCTCCCTTAATTATTTATGCAAATCTTTTTACCTCTCCTCTTATCATTTTGCATTTATTTATTTGTTTTGACCATGGCTTTCTGGTAGAATGGTGGTGGTGGGGTGTTAAGGCAGCTGGGCCTGTAGCTGTCCCTCAGATGCTCCCTAAAGGAAGCCCTTTCTAGGAGAGGCCCAGGGCACTTCTCGCTGTAATTCTCTCTCTCCAGTTGGAATCCAGGACATACTGTAAAATATATCTCACTACCTTGGCTCAGAATGTTTTAAAGTCCATGGTCTCCAAGGTTATCATAAACAGTTAAAAGACAATAGACTGAGAGAAAGTACTCAAAACTCTTATAATTGACGTTAATAATCTAAGAGCAACAAACCATGAATAAACCACCTTCCCATCCCCAGTAGAGAAAGGATTTGAATAGGTGAATTAAAGAAGAAACAATCCAAGTGATCAAAAGAGATGGAAAAAGAATGAGATAAGATGCATGTTTTTTTAAGCCTCTGTTCTTTCCTTGTTTGAATCTCATGGGTATTTCTAACTATGGCGACATCTGTATTCCTCTTTGCATTGGCTTCTAGTCTGCTCACAGTGAATTACATAATCTTGTCTAGGACCCAACAGCATGCATTTTATGTAATAAAAGTTCATTTAAAATCTCATTTTATTCTATTATATACACACATCTTCCCCCAAGTAATACTTTAGCAAAAGAGGAAGATATAATATGCTCTGTTGTGATAAGAAAAGTTTTTGTAAACCTCTCCAGACACATGTTATTTATTTGTAAGTAGGACTTGATGTGGAGGAAAAGGTACATTAGAGAAGTAAGGGAGAGGAAGGGACATGTCCACAGTCAACTGGGAGGAGGTGTGGCTGGGAACAGTCTGCTGGATGTTACCTCTGGCTCAGAACCCTTCTGCACAGATTGATTCCAACAGAGACAACAGGAGAACATTACCAAAGAGCAGCCTTCTGTTCTCTCTGGGAGCTTATTTAAAGACCTGGGTCCTCTAGTCCTCCCTCAGGAGGTCAGAAGAGGCTCCAGGTAAGCAAGAGTCTGTGCCAAGTTAGGGCCAGAGCAGATTCTGCCTGGAGGACAGATGAAGGAAGTCGGAGAGGAAACCTGAACTTAGACAAGTCTGCGTGTAGGAACCCTGCTCTCACTCCCGCCCCAGGATCTGGGACTAGGGTCAGCAATGTAAAGAAAAGCATCACAAAACCCTAAGAAAGGGCTTTATGGTAAGGGATTTCCCACAATGTGTGGGCTCCTCATCAGGAAGTGAAGAGGGCCATGTCCTTGGAATGACTAGCAGAGGATGGAAAAAAAAAAAAAAAAAACATCAAAAAGGCATTCAGAGGAATTTCTCCATGGGATGCACCCTGCCTGACTGGAAGACATCTCTAGTCCTTCCAACTCTAAGATGCTAGTAGTCTGTAAGTTAAACTGGATTTCTCATCTGGCCCACTTGACTCACAAGGAATGAATCTACATCTACAGATAATCTACAGATCAATTATGGGGCCACTTAGACAGAAAGGAACTGGTGAATAAGAAAATGAGAAGGGATAGTTTCCCAGGAACACTGTGGATCTAGCTACTTCCCATGAAATATAAGACATAAGACTCATTCTTAACATCTTTCTCAAATGGACCTCAGGAAGGACTGAAACTGTCCTCCTAATGTGCCCATCTCTTTATAGTCCCTCCCTACCCCCTCCATGGGAAGATGAGGAGATAATGGGACTCTAGACCTCTGAATTGGAGAAGTGCCACCTCTCTGCTTGCCTGCTCAGCGTGTCCCAGATACCAGCTGCAGACAGACCTCATTAATGTCCTCACTAATTGGATTTGCTTTTGCCAGAGCAGTACCTGACCTGAAGATATACTCAGAAGCCTGTTCATCTTTAATTGTAAGACCACCGTAAATTTAGTAGTAGCTAGTGTGTGTACGTGTGAATGTGTGCATGCACGCGAGTATGCATGCGTGTTGGAGGAGAGTAAGAAATTCATTAAATATACACCTTGATTGTAAAATGAGTCCCTCTTCCAAAAAAGTTAAAATGTATAAATAAAAAAAAATTTTAAATTCAACTTTGCTTTGGAAACTAAGATAGTGAAAGCCACCCTACTTCCTATGATAAGGCAACTAAGGTGAGATGGCTGTAACAGAACCCAGGACAACAGAAAGAATACTGAGGACAAGGAATTTTTTGTGAGATGTGAAGGCAGAAATGAGGATGCTGCCTGAGGAGGGGAGGCTGCCAATGTCGGTACTTCACCAAAGTGCCCAAAGACCCTTCACTAACTGGCCCAGGATTCCCAGGCCATCCTCCACCTGGCCATGGGGCCAAAGGACACAGTGACATCTGAGGAGCAGCTCTCCAGGATCCCAACAGTCCGGTTGCTGCTTGGCTAGCAGCAGTGCCTATGGTGGGCTTTGGAGTGAGGCCCATCTGGGTTCCAGCCCAGCCTGAGCCGCAGGCGAACCCTCTGGAAGGTACAGAACAGCCCCACTTGGTTTACCTTCCTGCCATCGCCAGACAGTGATGGTGTGCTCAGGGTCCACTCCCACAGACACCAGCAGCTTTCCAGTGGCGCTGAAGTTGACGTAATTAACCCCCTTGGAGTGGAAGCACCGCAGCATGGAGAGAGTGTGTTTGGTCATGGCGTCCCATATGTGGATGGAAGGTGTTGTCCCTGGGTGTGGGGAAGCACAACAGAGAGCAGTGGAGCCCAGGCAATGCTTGTGTTTGTTTCAAAGTCTTCCTTAAACAAGTGTTTGGGGGACATTATGGCTAACAGAATAAGAGTCTTACAGTCTGACCTGGCCAGAAAATACAATGGAAAATTGCTATTGAAGGCAAAGCCCTATGGACACTTACATCTAACACACATACACACACCAACACACTTGTGGAGGATCTTATACAAAGAAAACTGGTGAGGTCAGTGATTTGTATCTGCAAGTCAGCCAGATACAATCAGCAAATATGATACATTGACATGATTTTGCTGTGCAGATTCAAACTACTCACGGATGGAGTGGCCTTACCTGGGGCTTCCGTGATATCACCTGCATTGGGTGGGCAATGGCAATGAGGAAGCATCAAGGGAAAACAATAGCTAAAATAAGTCATGTTTCCAATAGTGAAGCACTCAACACCAGCATCAGAAAGTTCCAAATTAAATTTAAAAATGGACATGGGTTCAATGGAAACAAGCGGAAAGGTACTTTTGTAAGAATTGCCTTTGAAATGACAAATTAAAAACAAATAACAAACAAACATTTTACAAATGTGACTCAGTCCACATTTGTCCTCGGCAGCTTCCTAGGGTACAGAAGAGCGGGGCACACATACTGCCATCTACCCTTGCTGAGCACAAGCACCAGGCTTCAAGACATGGGGGTCTTCAACACATGGGGCCTGAAAAATTATTCTTGCAAGTTCACAGAGATGGGGACCATCCATTTATTTACTCTCAGACTCTGATCTACCTTTCCTTTTTTTCAGAATCACCAATCGCTGAATGTGAGAACTTAGGTGACGGCAGATACATTTAAGGCTGAAAAAATCAACAGCAACATCCACAAGGTGAGTGTCAGCTATGCACCCCCTTCTCCCAATAACTGCTACTAAGTTGACGTCCCTGCTCAGTTGCACGAGCCTCAGCTGCTGCATGGCCCCTACCTATCTGGCTGGTTGCCACCACGTTTCTGTACTTGGGGTGCTGGTTCACTGTGAGGCAGAGGATGTCATCCGTGTGCTCCAGGTAGAAGCTCTGGCTGCCTAGGAGAGAGGTGAACAGTGGAAACTAAAGAACTTTCAAGAAAACCCCATAGCTTCATGTGCAATTTTTGGAAACTGCTTGTAAGAAACAGCTTAAAGCCCCCCGATTCTTACTTCTAAAATCATTCTTGGAAAGACAGGAGTTTGATTCTTCTTCTTCTTCACATAATCTGTACAAGGGCTGGGAGAAGAGCCAATGTCTGTCATCTAGCACACTCAAGCTCCACCTCAGTCCCTCTCCCTGTTCTATGTGGGGCTAGAGCACAGTCCAAGTGTAGAGGCTTCCAGAGCCCAGAATAATGAGGGTGAGAGTTTTCTCCTCTCCATGGCACAGGGTTGACAGCCTCTCCATGTCTGCTTCTATGCAAGGGAGGGTGAGAGGCCTGGAGAGAACCCTCCTCTGTGTAAAATGGTACTATTTAGCGTGAAGGAACTTTGTGGATAAGAAATACTGAGGGAACCCTTTAATCACTTTACTTGCCAAGTATAAACCCACTGGTGTGCCCAGGTGACATAGGTCAAGGCTTTATCACCAAAGCTGAACTCAACATGTTGCAAAAAGGGGAAAATCAGAAAGAAATACTTTATTGTCCATCACAGCAAATGGATTTGCTGACTTCCTAAAGCAGCCACTTTAAACCCACTTGGATACCCCAAAACAAGAAAAGAGAATGATACAAAAGGAAATGACACATTTCTTCTAAATTAATATGTGGCTATAAAATGGAGAAAATGTGTAGAAATTTATAAGACCTCTTTCCCCAAAAGCGACACAAACCAATATGTGCCCAGTGACTTCCTGTCTAAATCTAAGCATGAACAATTTTACAGAACCAGCAAGGAATATAAAAACTTGAAAAAAGGTTTGTTTTGACATATGAAGACAAAATGTTGACATATTTAAATTTGGAGGTAAAGATAATGGACGACTGTTACATTAACTTCTAAATGTTTCTTGGTTTGAAATGTTTCTTATTTTTTAATTAAAGTCATATGGTTAAAGGACTCCTTAGGTATTTTTGTTGGTTGGTTTTTATTCTCATTGTACATGTAACTCAGGAATCAGAACAACAACAACAAAAAAAAAACTTGAAAAATCCAAACTGCTGAAAACTAATGAGAAAAGTCGCCCTGTGCTTTCTGTCTGTTTTGGTGTCCGGGGAGTCTCTCAGCTCCATGCCCTGTTCTCTCTGGCTTCTCTCCATGTCTTTTGCTTCAGCTGTTGGAAACACGGATGGCTCCCTCCTGGGCCTACACCAAGTCAGGCTGGGCACAGGCCAGAAGGGAAGAGGACCTCGACTCCTGGAACTGAGTCTGGGCTCCTCTAGGACTAAAGGACATCAGCCTTGAAGCGAGTGAAATGGCTCTAAAGGGAAGGAGAATGGTTAAGCTTCAGGCATCAAAAGAGTGGGAACCAGACATCAGGGTGGACGTGAGGAGCTGGGTTGAGAAGGCGGCTCCCACCCCCTACCTGTGGAGAGGTTCTGGACGATGCCAGCCGCTGCCGTGTGGAAGATGATGTCGGCCCCATCGTTAAGATAATGCAGGTTGTTGCGGCAGTCAAATCCTCTGTAGCCAAACACATGGTCCAGAGCCAGCTCCTGCATGCACACATGTACACACACACACACACACACACACACACACACACGTTAAAGCTGCTCCAAACCCATAACCAGGAGCAGCGATGCACGCTACAGGATGGTATGGCTAGCAAGGTCCACCACTCACTGAAAGCATTTTGCTTCTTGACTGAGGATAAAATGCAGACCTTTATTTAGTTCCCTGAAATGCTATGGGTGGCATAGAATTTTAGTGACTTTTCAAAATAAGCCAGATTTACTTCCTGGATTCTTAAGTAAGCTAAAGTGCACTGATCTGACGCCCTGTCAAGGTGATCTGGAAGTCCTGCATCTGTACTTGGCCTGCACTTGACGCTCGAAATGAGCTAAACAACAGCTCAGGTTTGTTTTGAGAAGTCCCATAGATATAGCTGGGACAGGCAGAGCAGAATACTGGGGCAAATGCCATGCTCATTCTGTGCTCATTCTGTCAGTTGGCACTTGCCCTACAAAGCTTCTGCACATTTAGACTTTTTCCCCTCCAGCAACTAGATACTATTCTGGGTTTATAGTCTTCTCTCCCTCCTGTCTCATCTTCTATGACAAAGAGCAGTGGCTGACTCAGATCAGTTCTTAATTCCATTCAACACACACATATTGGGCAGCTCCTCCATGCCTGGCACTGTGCTGGTTGATAGCATACAAGGTTAACAGGATGTGGGTCCTTTTTCTTCAGTTTCTGATTCTGGCTCTTACTCTCTCCAAAGTTTGCCAATTGCAAACATCAGATTAATTATCTTAAAATACCATGCCACCTCTTTATTCAGAAGCATTTGTTGTCTTCCACTGACCCAGGAGAAAGCCCACACTCTTAAAGTTGGCCCAGTGGGCCCCATTCCCACACATCTGACTGCTGCACTCCTTGGTCAACTTGACACTCAACCCACATATTATAAGCTTTCTCATTGTTATGATTTTGCTTTTTCAAATGCTCAACTGGAAATCCCTTTTGCTCAACTCAGTCTCTACCCACCCCTCAGACTCTCTGCAAGGTGTGTCCCAGATAGTACGTGTTTAATACATGACTCTGCTCCTGGAGTGAGTGAATGATGGGCCGAAGCTGGGCCAGTCAGTCTCCCCCAGGCATTTAGAATTGGGGGCAATGAATTTAATTTGTGTTGTGGTGGGGAATCACAGGCAATGAGCTTGGAAGGTGGCTCTAGGTAAGGTTCTGAAACCATGAACTTGAACCCTATTAGTAATGTGAGAATCTCCTGAGTCCTAAAGCGTAAAGAAAAAACTCTAGGCTAGCTGGTCTCTGTGAAAACAGCAGGCTCACTAGAACTGATCTTCAAGTCTCAATGACTAAGCATGAACCCTTTCACTCACTGGGCTGGTGGTCAAGGACCTGAGAACTCCCTTAACTTTCCTGCACCACCACAGTTTCCCCATTTGCAAGTAGATACAACAGCACCTACCTTACATGTGAAAGATTTGTTTAAAATATTTCATGGGAAGTATGAAGCATAGTGCCGGCGCATGGAAAGTTCTCATGCAACATTAGAGGTAGTAAATGAGCTCTCCCTGTACAAATGCTCAAGTGCCCTCTCTCCCAACTCTTCCCCTTTCAGGAAGGGATACTGAGGGCCTCATTGGTAGGAGGCATAGGCTTGAAGGACATGGGTCATTTCAGAGTTAGTACTGATCAACCTGGTTGTAGAGCTGGGGAAGGAAGAATGTGACCTGGATGTGAATCTGGTTCTGGGGATGATGGACACAATGCCATGTAGAAGGAGAGGGGACAAGAGAGAGCTAATAGATTCATTTGATGGAATCTGTGAGACAGGCTGATGAAGATGTCCGCCAGGCCATCTTAGAACGTTGATATCAGATCAAAAGCACAGTAACTTAATCTCCTCACCTCAACCAGTTTCTTTTTTTTGGTGATATTGTTCTTCTGGAGTTTCTCAGGCTGGGGAGCTGCTCGGCTAACAGGTGGTCTGAAACAGAGAAGTCAGAGGAAGCACAATATTGAACAAAAGGCTGCTTGCTCGTGGCTGGCCAAGGCTGGGCTTTTTGTTTTTTTCCCTGATCAATGGACCCTCTGCCTGGTGTTGTTCTATCCTGCCCAACTCCCTCACCCTGTCCTATAAAAAGTGGCTTTTGACACAAATGGTCCTATGTGGTTCCCCTGGGTTTGTGGTGCTGAGCTGGGCTCCTGCACACCTAAGGCACCCAGGTCAGCAGCTGCCCCTCCTTCCCCACCCGGCATTTTCCAGGGATCCAGGAGGAACCCCTGAGCTAGAAGGGCTTGTTTTAAAACTAAGCAGGAGCCTAAGTAAGAGTTCACTTACTGAACTCACTGGCCATTTTCCAGACAGGGATGTGCCAATGCTGTTCAGAATCAGGTGGTCAAAGATCACAACATGGTGTGAGACAGGACTCACAAGCCAGGCTTTGGAACATGCCCTAAGGCCACTTGCAAAGTGCCCAGGCTGGTCTAGCCACACCAAAGGGCAAGAGGGAAGCAAAGTACTGACAAAACTTTGCTCTTACCCTGCCCTATACCTCAGGGCAATGATTTGCACTCTTACCTCGCTAAAGGTTGCTTTTCCCTTCTCAGTTTAGGGGATTGAGGCCTCCAAATTCAATGAAGAGATTTTATAAGGAGGAAATCTTAAAGGTCTCCTGCTTGAGTAGGCCAAAGCTTTGTGGCAAAGGGTTCCCTTAAATCAAACTTCTCTAAGATTAGGAAAAGTGGGTGTTGGGGACTGGGGGGGTGGGGCGGGGCGCAGGAGAACTGCTCCACTCCTGCTGCTCCTTCCAAATCCATTAGTTATTGTTCTGGGGAAACGCAAAGAGAAAGGATTACCTTGATCCCCTTGGAAGCAGCAAACAAAGCCAAGTGAGAAACTTAGTACAGTTTAGAGCAGCATTAGCAACCACCTCACTCATGCACAAGCACTTTCCAAGTGAACACATTCCTGTGTGGCACAAACCATGCTTCCCCAGCATGCCAGCAAAGAACTAAAACAGAAATGAAAGAGTGCACCAGTCTACAAATTCAGAAAGCTCATACCCTGGCGTCTCTGGGCAAACTCTGCACTAAAGCGCCTACGGAATGGGGAGAAAAAAAGGAAGCTTGTCAATGCTTCCGGCATGCTCTCTGCGGCTTTACAAGCCTGGGGACTCTGCTTATTTTAGAGTGTGCTGGGGAGAAACTTGTTGTCAGAAAAACAATGACATCCTCCTGGATGTTGTAAGGGAGTTATGCACAACGGGTGCTTTGTTCCCAAATTAAGTTTGACTCATAGTTTAGCCCAGTCTTCTCAGTGTTTCTCGGCAGGTCAGACTGCCTGCCGAAACAGCTCGTGGATTTTTAGTGCAGGAAAAAACAAGGTACCTTTATTTTCTCAGAACCTCTTCAATCAAAACATGTTATGTAATCATAAGTGATAATTGGACCAAATGGTATTATAATCACTACTGAAGGATGAGGAGAGCACACACCCCCGGCTGACATCATTGCCACCAAATTGAGCAAAATCGCAAGGCTGGGGCATGCCAGTTCTCACAATTAGACACTTCCTGCACATTAATTATCGCTTCCCAGGACATCTGCTCTTTCTTCTGTTTTAGTGGGACTTTCAAATGAAATCCGTGGGTTTCTTCTTTCACCTAAAAATGTTTAAGTGGATGACAAAAGCAAGCCAGGGGCTGTGATGACAGCAAGAGGTCACTGCAGCGGCAGACGGTTCGGTTCGGGGAGGCATCATTTGAGATTCAACACAGGGCTCGTTCCCAGGGAGCACATGGTTGTATAATATGCAGCATATTATACAGTGTAGAGAGAGTATGCATACGAGCACAAACGCTGTATACTTATATATACACAAGATTGTATATATACACACAAAGGCAATCGGTGCTTTTTTTTTCACCTTGATTTTCAGTTAAAAAAAAAACTGAAAAGTAAAGCAATCTCAGAACATTTCTTTCTTATTTCACAAGCATATGTTTACAGCGGTATTTCTTCAAAACTGAAGATGAGAGGAGCGAGGGGGAGAAACCTGCGTTGTGGCAAATTCAGCGGGTTCTAAGTAGTGACCCTTCGCGTGTGTGGGTACTGCATGAGCACTAGTACTGGATGCTCACCGACCACCTGTGCTTTTCCAGAGTGCTGAGGATACTTACTTGACAATTCCCTGCCTCCAGAGGAAAGCAAGTTAAAACACAATACAAGTATTAAAGGCTTCTTTCCAAGCATCTATAAACAGTGTTCGTAACATCAAACGTGGGAGGAACTGCCAAAAAATCTCAAACATAGCCAAACACTGGAGGTTTAGCATTTTTCAGCAGATCTGAATCCTTCCAGATTTAGATTCCACTGGAAATGTGATGCTGAAAAGCTTTGCTAAGGTGGGAAGGAGTGGAGGGTGCGAGGGCATTCACTCACTTTTCAGAACCATAAACTCCTTAGAGTTGGTTGTTCCCATTTGGCCTAGGATGGGAGAACCAGGAAGACCGTGAGAGCTACTGGATGTTGGCAGGAGACCCCACAAAGTTAAGCACTTGAAGGTGAGGGGGGCAGAGAATCACTGTAGGGGGTGGAGACCCAAAAGGAAGGAGGGCTTTGAAGGGGATCAGGAAACGAAGGGGATCAGGAAACAAAGGGGAAAAAGAGCTTTCAATGAGCAAGAAATTGAAGGATGGACTCTGGTGAGAGAGCAAATTAGATTAATGAGGGTGATGGACAGGCCTGCGCTCCAGAGAGTAGAAGAGAAGCTCTGCCAGGGCAGACAGGTGATGGCAGGGAGCCCAAGGAGAGGCCTGTGAGGCTAGGTTGTGACATGGTGCTGGGTAAGGAGGCGGCCCTGCTCTTGGGCTCCGTGCTGGGGGCCAGGGGTGCACAGAGTAAAGGTCACTGAAGATCATTAAAGGTCACCAAAATAGGTGGCAAGCTCTGTAGGCAGTGCAGAACCATGAGAGGGTTAATCTCTGCTGTTCTTCCACTGCTTTGCAGCCAGGCTGCTGAAGAGAAGTGTAGACTCACTCAGAGATGTGTGGAGTGTAGTCCTCATGCAGGGTCTCACCCCACCAAGGCCCACAGGGGTGGCCCATGCCCTGGTTGCTTTCCTATCTCCTCATCCCTCCTCAAGATGCTGGACTGGCTGAGCAGGAGGAGGAGCAGAGCTCACAGCAGCCTGAGAAGCACAGGGAGTTCGGAGCCAAGGATCTTAGGGAAGCTTCTGTGATGGCTGAGGTGCAAGCCAAGAGGAGGTTCTGCGAAAGCCAACTGGGGGCTAGGGCTCAAGGGTTGGAGAAACAGAGAAAGGAAGTTGCTCCAATGCAGCTTTCAAAGTTATCAAAGTTGTTTTGATAAAGAGGGGTCTGGCAGTGGGGAAACAGTTCCGATTAGCCACAAAATACAACTTTTGTTTTTAGTGTTAAGTCAGACAGTGTTTAATGTTCAACATGCTTTTGGAAGAATTAACTTTGTTTAGGTTCCAAAATGGGCCATAAAATGCTCCAAGTGTTTTCAAAATGTCTTGGGAAATCCAGCTACCTTTGGATGATCTTAGGTGGGAACTAATACATGATCTGAACTCCATTTTAGAATTGTTCTCCAACAAGATCTGTTACCCCATGAATGGACTTCTAAAACTCAAATGAATCCCCAGACATTTACAAAATTGTGTTTGCACATGTGTGGAAAATGAGGCATGATTTAATTTGATTTTTCAAAGAAGTCTGTGATTTAAGAGCAAAATAGAGAAAAGCCAGAAAGGGTGATGAATTTGAGAGAGAAATTAACTAAGATTTGCTGTTCTGGGATAAATCCAGATTTAGGAAAAATCTCCAAAGCCACGGGGCTCTCTGTTATCAAAATGAAAGGACTTGGATTCTGTTAAGTATATTCCTGTGTCTTCCAGAACCATCCACTGAGTTGTTCCATGGCAAAGTGGAGTTAAGGGAAAAGTGTCAGGCAAGAGAACAATAGGATATCCAGAAATAAGCCCACCATGTTGAAAATGCTCTTGACTGAAGCCTATGACAAAAGTCTTGGATTTTGCGGGGGGTGGGGTACAAGCGATTGAGCTCATGGGCACTCGACCACTGAGCCACATTCCCAGCACTGTTTTGTATTTTATTTAGAGATAGGGTCTCACTGAGTTGCTTGGCACCTCACTTTTGCTGAGGCTGACCTTGAACTCTTGATTCTCCTGCCTCAGCCTCCCGGGCTGGGATTACATGCATTTGCCACCAAATGGCTGTTTTGTTTTGTTTTTAGTGGGAATAAAGTCTCAGAGTTGGCCATTTTAGGTGAGTGTAAAAATATCTGGATACAAATTGAGGGGATAAAGGATACAGCAGAAGGAACTAAGAGTAAAGATGGGCAGATTAGTGAAGAGGTCACTGCAGTAACCCAAGGGAGGAAGGATGAGCTTGAATGGAATAGTGGTCAAGGAGGAGGAGGAAACAAGCAATTATTTAATAAAATATCTTTGAAATGGGCTTCACCACACTTTATAGGGGATGAAGTAATAAAAGTAGTTTGAGTGGAATACCAATTTTCTAGCCGGGCGTCTGGGTGGATGATGGTACTATTGATAGAGACAGGAGAAGAGGGTTTATAGGGAAGATGATGGCTTCACTTTGGACAAGTCATGCTTCAGACATCCGCAAGATGGCTACAGGAGTTGGAAGTTCAGCTAAGGGATATGACTGTGGGAATCATTAGCTGATAGAGGAGACATATGAGATTCATCAGGTACAGGGTAAAGAGAAAAGTCAGCCAAAGGTGAAATCCTGAGGACTAACACTAAATAAGGGACTGGAAGATGAAGCAAAGAGGGACAATGAGGAGAAACAGAAAAGCAGGAGTAGGGCCAAGAGAGGTTGTTCCGAAAAGGTGCAATCTGTACACGTGGAAAAATAAGACTAAGATTACGTACCCCATTTGAATCAAATGTATGATATGTCAAGATCATTGTAATGT